TTTTCTTATAGCTAAGAGCATCACGTAATAGAGAGATAAATCTCCCGCTGAGGTTTTAGCCGGCTTATCTTCTTATATCTTAAAGCACTACATATGAGAGAAAATTATCCCGCTGAATAGTTAGCCTTCTTATCTTATACATAAAAGCACTACGTATGAGAGGCAAAATTTTTCTGCTCAAGTTTTAGTCGGCTTATCTACTTCTTATGCCTAAAAGCACAACGTATGAGAGATAAATTTTTCCCGGTCAATGTTTTAGATGTCTTACCTTATGCCTAAAAGCATTACGTATGGGAGAGAAAATTCTTCTGCTCAATTATTAGTCCGCTTATCTTATAGCTAAGAGCATCACGTAATAGAGAAATAATTCTCCCGCTGATGTTTTAGGCGGCTTATCTTCTTATATCTAAAAGCACTACATATGAGAGAAAATTATCCCGCTAAATAGTTAGCCTTCTTATCTTATACACTAGTTATTTGAGCGCGCGATGCGCGAGGAGATAATGCCCAATTTCAATTTCTGGAGTGTGTTACAACATCATCATACTTAAGAGTGAGATATAAGTGATGTTTTTTATATTTCGTGACAAAATGATGTTTGTGTGTAGCTTTTACAAAATAACATTCCAAAAAGGCAATTATTATATTTAAAGATACATATATCCCCGAGTAAAACCCAGAAACATATACTCCAAAGATAAAATTGGAGAGGGTGAACGCGCGGGAGAGGGGAATAAATTGAATATGGCAATGAATGAAGCAGCCATATAAAAACAGGGGCATTGCTATTAATTATTACACTCCATAGTTGTTATTATTATTAGGTAAAAGGGGCAAATAAGCCCACGTACTAACAAAAAAGGTCAAATAGGTCCTTATTTATGAGGCTCTGTCCAGCCGCCGCCATTTGGAGCGGTTCCCGGTGGAATTTTTTGATGAAATTTTTTTAGCATCTTATTCATTAAGTCTAGTTTAATCCTACCAAATTTCAGCTAAAACTTCAATAGGGAAGGCATTCAAATGACTTCTTGAAGATAACTTCGCTTTTAACTGCGCAGTTATTCATCATTTGAATGCCTTCCCGATTGAAGTTTTAGCTGAAATTTGGTATGAGTAAACTAAATTTAATGAATAAGATGCTAAAAAAATTGCATCAAAAAATTCCACCGGGAACCGCTCCAAATGGCTGCGGCTGGACAGAGCCTCCTAAATAAGGACCTATTTGATCTTTTTTGGTTAGTACGTGGGCTTATTTGCCCCTTTTCCCTTATTATTATTACATATATAACTTAAGAGCAGCAACGGCTTTAGACTTAAAGTCAACTCTAAGATCTAACACTCTTCTCACCTCACTTGGGGTTATCTCCAAGTCATGGGGTTATTTTCTAAAACTAACTAACATAGCACATACTCCGTGTATTAGTTATTATAGTTAGTAAAATAAGAGTCGGAGTCTTCCTTCCTTTTCTCTAAATCCTTGAACCAAACAGGCCCTAGGAAAAAAACTACGTGAGGATTGTCAAGATCGTAGACCTTTTCCATGATCAATAATCAAAGAGTTGGATTAAAAACTTTAGCAATTATAGTTTTTAGCAGTGTTTTAAAAAGAACTACGCAGGCAGCAAACTAAATCAGCCAATCTAGAACTAAATTCCATTTGGTTTTACTTTAAAAAAAAAAAAAAAAAATCCATTTGGTTTAAAATTACACGCATTAATCTTTCAAACCATATTCATCTTTCCAATGAAGTGTATATCGAAATCACAGTTACATACCCAGAGAGAAGAAATGGTCAGAACACAACTGTCTAAGATGGAGTACTATACATAAAACTACAAGTGTAGACCAGTGTTGTGAGTGTTCTGAAAGCTTCAAAACCTGAGAGAAGAAATGCCAAAAGAGAGAAAAATAAAGTTCTGACTTCAGACGCAAATCACGAGAGATAGAAAGGATTAACCGATTAACCGACTAAGGTCAGTTAATCCTTATTTGGCCCAAATAGCAGATTAATCCTTATAAGGTTAATCCTTATTAAACAGTTAGTTCTCAATTTTTATTTTTTTATTTTTTTTAGAAGTTATTTGCTTCTTGAGAATCCATGAACTGGTATATAGCCTATATATCTTCTATATAGGCGTTCAATGTGTTGTTTCTTCCCTTGTGAAGAAAAGTGATCAACGAGGCTTTGTGATTACTTTTTAAGGTCATAACAATTAAAAAAAAGATTAAGGAATTTAAAATCCCAGGGATGTTTTATGATGCTTAAGTATTCCCTTATTTTTATTTTTTACATACTCATATATTTATTTTCCAATTTTTTGAAATTCGGTGTCTAAATAAATTACTTTTGCATGTTGCAGCACTGAGTTTGTGACACCGCACCCGAATGTACTTGAAATTTAAAAGACGATATGTATTTGCATTTCCTAACGAATAAAATTCGTGGAATTGATTGGCATATTTAATTAATGTGTGATTGATTAAATTATTTATCGGGTCCATCATACGAGAATGGACTACCAAATATTTAGTTGGGTTATCATAATAATTATAGGAGTCCAGTAAAATGCCAACCGAAGTTGATAAAAATATTTGGACAACCCGAGTGCTATTTCGGCCCGACCTACCGAAAATGGCAGGAATAATTGGGAGGGACTTCCTACACCCACTTGGTGTACTCTATACACTAAAATGACTCAAAAATAAGGGAGGAGGAGCCACACATGTTGACTTGTGCGTGCAAGAGGGAGGAAACACCATGGAGACAAGTCTATTCATCCCATGTCCTCTACTTGGACTTGTCTTGGGATTGATTGGGGAGATAAGGCTACTCCTCTCCCATCCTACCATTGCCCATTCGAACCACAAGAAGAGGGAAGCTCCAGGAAACTCTCCCCACTGATTCTGAACGTGAAGAAGCACAAGAAAGAAGAAAATCCAAGGAGAAAGAAGGTTGTTCTTGAGGTAAGAATACACCTCTATTATTTAACTAGTATTGTTTGTATGATTTTTAAGAAATCATATGGTGGATCGAACATGGAGTTCTACACGTTTAAAAGTGTGGAATAATGTTATATAGGGGTGGTATTTAACTTAGGAGAGTCGTGGAACCAATAGGAGTTGAAACCACCGGAAACCGCCAAGGAGAAGAAACTGTTCGTAGTTGCAGACTACGAAAGCCGCCTGGCTTTTGGTGAAAGCCGCCCGGCTTTTGGGCTACTGTCCAGGAATTTCGCTTTTGATCGGTTTAGAACGGGGATCGATCGAAGGGCTTATCAAAGGCAACTAATCCAGCACTTCATAAGGTGAGGATGGCTGACTATGTTGTTTATAATCTTTGGGTTAATTTCATAAGATTACCTAAAGTATTTAAATGTGATTTTCATGGATTATTAACAAGTAATAATGCCTAAATGAGAATACAATTGCTTATGAGTAATTGAAGTATTATATGCGAATTGCGAATGAAGTGTGTATGGATACGTGATTATGTATATGATGGAATGATAGTTGAGTGAACTAAGAATATGGAGATAAAATATACTTTGCTTCATGTAGGGAATTCATGAATGGGTAAAAGTGATATTTTGATATTGGGAAGTAATTATATTTGAATTGGAAGATAAATTGAAATACACTATGTGTCTATGGGTTAAGAACTTGGTTGTTCAAAATTTATTCAACTAGTATTGAAATACTAGCCGAGATGTTAATATGAGGAACAATAGATTAATCCAATGAGTTGGGTTGTGAGGAAATTATACCTTGAGTAGTCCAAAGAGATACTTTAAGGTCGAGACGTGTAAGCTCTAAGTATAATAGGAGTAGGCCCTAAAGGCTACTCAATCTAAACCGATTCTAGGCAAAGGAATTGCTTAGGGATTGATTAACGTGACTAAGAGCGGGGCTCTAGCATGTTGAAATGATGACTAAGAGCGGGGCTCTAGCATGTAGGGATGGTGACTAAGAGCGGGGCTCTAGCATAATGTAGATGGACTAAGAGCGGGGCTCTAGCCAATGTAAGTTAACTAAGAGCGGGGCTCTAGTATAATGTAGATGGACTAAGAGCGGGGCTCTAGCCAATGTAAATTAACTAAGAGCGGGGCTCTAGTATGATGTAAACGGACTAAGAGCGGGGCTCTAGCCAATGTAGACAAATTAGGAGCGGGGCTCTAGTATGATGTAGGGAGACTAGGAGCAAGGCTCTAGCACGATGTAGGGAGACTAAGAGCATGGCTCTAGCATGACCCAATAGTATAACCGGGCGAGGCTCGGTGATGTTTACGCCATGTAATAGGGAAATGCCCAAGTGACTATGAGTAAATTTACCAGAGGTTTATGACATTCGTGACAAATGGTCACGGGGGAAAAGGGGGATGGACTTTCAAAATGCATACGGGTCTTCGGGCCGACTACTTGACTTTATATAAAGTAAGTATAATTTCAAAGAGGGTAACCACGGGTTACGACCTATATTATTATATCACCCTATTTGAGGGTCTTGGAAATTGAAACATTGATTATACTTAGTATAGTTGTCATTGTACTTGTCAAATGCTTCCAAGTACTGACCTCCCCTTCACGGGGGAGGCCACCTCACAGTTTCAGGTAGGAGTTGAGCTTGCTACCGGTGCCCGTTGTTTCGGGAAGATTCAGGAGGGAAGACGTGGTTCGTGCTTCCTCCGCCTCTGTTTTTTTTTAAAACATTTAAAATCGATGCTCATGGATATTATTTTGAATAATTATTTGGGGCTTGCATGCCCACGTTTGCCGAAGTGTGGCATAAACACTTGTATTAAACGTTTCCGCTGATTTAAATGATTATTTTACATTATGTTTGTTTATGGATGTACTATTGTGAATGATATTCAAGACGCCTTGTATAGTATGGATGAGTTGGACTGCGGTTGACTATTCGTACTGTACGGCGGGTTGTTGACGTGTCCGGTAGGCCCGGGGCGTGACAGAGTTAGATCAGATTACTTTAGGATGACGTAGCAACCTCTGAGATCAGATTAGTTTGGGATGTTACAGCAGCTATTGAACTCATATTCATATGTGTTGTCCTGTATAGGTTACATAATATGGTTTTGGAAAGACTCAAAGTACTCTTCATGTAGAAAATACTCCAGGAGTTTGTCCAGGTGTAAGAGCTCAACCATGGGGTTTTGGGATCAGTTTCTTTTTATTAATTACTAAGTATTATAATAATCTTTATGTTCTATAACTAAAGTGCAATAACAAAAAGTGAAATTTTTGCATTTAAAACTCTCGTCCAGGGATTGTACTTAAACGGTTAAACCAGGAAAATCGTACGCCCTTGAATTCGCCGGAGATAGGGAAAGACTCCATATTTCACAGGTTGGGTTAAAAATATTGCTTGAATCCTCATATAAAAAAGTACCATATGATGAGTTGCTTTTCCTGCCTTGCCTGAGAAAAAAGAGAAAAGTGATGACTGAGAATTCAAGCTGTGAATCTTTACATGTTACCACTGAAGCTGGTGGATGTAGCAACATTTTTCAAAAAGAGAGAAGTGAGACATATAAACTCCTTGATGAGCGAAATAATCATATAAGGTTTCAACCTGACTAATTGAGTTCCTAACTGGGATGGACCCGTTAATAAGTATGTTTTTTAGTGCTTTTTATTCATTATTATTATGGATATTTTTAGGGAAGAAAAAATGTACTAAGACTCTTAATTAGTTATACATTAAACAACATGTGGCTATTAATTACATAGTTTGCAGAATCTTCTTCTATTTATTCATTGGACTTGCATAAGGGCTATCCAAACGATTGCTTAGCAACTGTAGAGACACCCTTCACCTCATCAATAACAGTTTTAAGCTCATGATATTTGGTTCAAGGTACGCTCATGCTTTCCAAGACTTGTAACTTAGAAGTAATTTAAATCAATCAACACACAAGTTAAAGAAATAAGTTCTAAATACACTACCCCTGCGACCGTGTCCATATTTAGAAGTTACTCAGTATGCCCAAATGAGTTCATACCCCTTGAAAGATTGAATCAAAACACACTCGCCAACATTTGAGTGTTGGCGAGTACAAGTTTCTGAGTGAGTACAAATGTTTTCAGCCAAACATTGTGTATACTGGTTGTTGACTGATTGCTCATTATTCTCAATCACAAAAGGATATCTCTTTGATCCATGTTTGGAACTTTAAAAGCTTCATGTGTCAATAAGAACAATAAAAGTGTAATAGATTAAAACTCAAACGAATCACACAGAACTTGATCATTTAATCGTAATACACAAACATTTAAATACCTTTCTGGCAGAAGCAACGCAGTGTGAATGCGCGAGTGCAAGAAATGGGAAGAGAACATAGCTGGAATGGGATAGCATTGATAAAAACAAAACATGGAGCAAAACTTTGTATTAGATGGGGTCTTTTTCACGCGCTGAACTTAACAAAAGACCCAATTTCAGTATTAAGTATTTTAAATATAAGTAGGCGGCAGTGATATTGTTGCAGTATCATTGCCTGTTTTTAAAATAGAAAATAGTAGCAAAATGTAGCATAGAAGCAGCTTATATTAGGAGTATTTTATTTAGTATGAAAGAACCCTTTAAAGGCATGAACCTCTATGTAGCCTAGGTATTAAAAACATGCAAAGATCTAGCACATACAACGTCAAAATACATGAAAGCACATAACTTTGAGCCTCTCTATCTTTGACCTGGTTATAAATTAATTGTTGTGTCCTCAAAGTGTTAGTTATTTTCTAAAACTAACTAACATAGCACATACTCCGTATATTAGTTATTTTAGTAAAATAAGAGTCAGAGTCTTCCTCCCTTTTTTCTAAATCCTTGAACCATTTAGGCCCTAAGAAAACACTACTTCAGGATTGTCGAGATCATAGACCTTTCCGTGATCAATAATCGAAGTGTTGGATTAAAAACTTTAGCAATTATACTTTTTAGCAGTGTTTTAAAAAGAACTATGCAAGTAGCAAAGTAAGTCAGCCAATTTAGAACTAAATTCCATTTGGTTTAAAATTACACGCGTTAATCTTTCAAACCATATTCATCTTTCCAATGAAGTGTATATCGAAATCACAGTTACATACCCAGAGAGAAGAAATGGTCAGAACACAACTGTCTAAGATGGAGTACTATACATAAAACTACAAGTGTAGACCAGTGTTGTGAGTGTTCTGAAAGCTTCAAAACCTGAGAGAAGAAATGCCAAAAGAGAGAAAAATAAAGTTCCGACTTCAGACGCAAATCACGAGAGATAGAAAGGATTAACCGATTAGCCGACTAAGATAAGTTAATCCTTATTGGCCCAAATTGCAGATTAATGCAGGAAAAAATGATGTATAAGAAATTAATGAGCTATAACATACGATTAGATAAACGAAAAGAAGAGAAATTTACATACGGAGTATATACCAGAAAATGAATGACAATCAGCCGAGAAGAAGACTCGCTGTCTGGGAGAGAAACCCCGGATCCAATCGCTTGCTTGGATTGTACGAATGCGAGAAGTGGGGTGTGCGAGCAATCAACTGCCATCGCGGCCGGCAGAGCAACTTGATCGATTTGAAGGTGGGAGGTCCTTTGAGGGAAATAACGGTGACATAAGAGACGCAGATGGAGGCATCAGACGGATATAAACGGAAAAATAAGCTCCTTTCAAGGAGTACACGTCTTAAAATACATTGTACAACCTCATTAAGCTTCATGATTACACCAACATAATTTTCAGCCCTAAAATGCTCTAACCTTCATTGAGGATTATAAGTTTTTAAGATAAAAGCACTATGTATGAGACAAAATTCTTCTGCTCAAGTTTTAATCGGCTTATCTTCTTCTTATGCCTAAAAACATTATGTATGGGAGAGAAACTTTTCCCGCTCAAGTTTTAGTTGGCTTACCTCATCTTATATTATCTTCTTATACCTAAAAGTACTACGCGCGTGAGAGAAAATTTTTCAAGTCAATTGTTTAGACGGCCTATCTTATGCCTAAAAGCACTACGTATGAGATAAAATTTTCCCGCTCGAGTCAATATTGATATCAAATGAAAGATCATAAAAACTCATGAATTTTGATATATTTTTTTTGGTAAAAGACTGATTTAAAATTAAAATGAAAATACCATTAGATTTTTTAAATCTTGCAATTGATGAATTCAAATCACTCACCGTCTTCGATTTAGACCAACTCAAAACAGAACTAAATAGACCAACTCGAATTTTTTCCTATTATTGGCTTATCGGATTTCATTTGCAGAGTTTTTATATATCAAATGAGTGAACATCAAATTATAAAATCATTTAAGAAGGTTTTATTAAATAAATTTAGTACTTTAAGATTTTTCCTTTTATGGTCTGATTTCGGATTTTGGAGACCGTTTAGTAGTACTAAAATTAGTTGAATCTATTGAAATGGATGAAATTTTGAGGGAAGTGGTAGAATTAGTTGAATCTTTTGGTGTATGGATAAATTTAATTTAAATTACTTTTATTAATGAAATAAAGAAAAAAAATTATATGAAATGTAGGTAAAAGTGATCATCTAGAGTAATTTTCCCAATTCATACAACAAAATAGATCAGAAAATATATAGAGATAATTTTAAGCATAATTATAGAGATTGTTAATAAATTATATTTTATATAGTCAATATTGATATCAAATGAAAGATCATAAAAAATTATGAATTTTGATATATTTTTTGTAAAAATCTGATTAAAAATGAAAAAGTTATAACACTTTAAAAATCTGATATATTTTTTATTGCTTGCCCCCCACAACTGCATTCCTGCCGCAGCTTCCTTCTATTCCAAAAGAGGAGAAGTTCGGTATTTTGAATAAAATGACCACGTGGCATTGTTAGAGCAAATGAGAAAATTTAGGAGAGTTAGACACTTAGGATTTATTAAGGGCAAAATTGTATATTAAATAGCCTATTCTTTTCTTATATATAAATAGATTGAAACAAAGCATACGTACACGTTAAAAATTGGGTTTCCTTAAATATATATAACTTTATTGGAATACTAATTAATTGGATCGAAATATTTTTTATGTTTTTCAAATCATATTTTAAAATATTTGCCTGAATGTTAAAATATTTTCTTGAATATTCATATTTTAAAATATTTAATTTTGCTGAAATACTTCATGGGTAGAAATATTTTTGTTGTTGTTCAACTCGTATTTTAAAATATTTTCCTGAATATTCATATTTTAGAATATATAATTTTGCTGAAATATTTAGTGGGTATAAATATTGTTTATGTTGTATAACTCATATTTCAATCTATCCTTTGCACTCAATACAAATATTAAAATTTCAATCTTGAACTTGAAATGTCTTTTGGTTAAATATATTTTCTGTTATTTAACTCATGGGGTAAAAATCGGGTTTCCATAAAAATATTTAATTTTATTTAGACACTTAGTGGGTAGAAATGTATTTTACATTGTTTAACTTCAACTTGATGGCTAAATATTTTATCTTGTTGTTCCATTAAATATTTTCCAGAATATTTATATTTTAAAATATTTAATTTTGCTGAAATACTTAGTGGGTAGAAATATTTTATGTTTATGTTCCATAAAATATTTTTATGAATATTCATGTTTTAAAATATTTATTTTTTTGAAATATTTAGAGGGTAGAAATATATTTTCATTTTGCTAAATATTTCTATGTTATATAAATCATATTTCAATCTATTCTGTGCACTCAATAGTGGTTACTCATTTGAAATTTAATTTATAATTTGTAATGTATTAAAGTTTTCAATGTAGTTGTGGAAGATAAAGAACAAAACGGAGAAATTATGCGGTTATGCATAGCCAATCTATAATTCGTAGCTGTAATAGATTTGCATATATTCAATATATTCAAATATGGAATGTTGTTATAGGGCATACGGAATATGTAATATATGAATGTTGAATCTACTTTTTTTAATCTACTATTTATATTTGAAATGAATTGCTTTGTATTAATTTCTTTCCTTTTTGATACTTTAATACTTTAAAGATTTCATTAATATTGGAAAGTTCATACGTATAGTAAATTAATTGCAAAAACAGCCTCAATCAATTGGACTCAATAGCAATACTTAAATTTAATAATTGTACTCAATAGCGAATAAAATTACAATTTAATTTCAATTTCAAGGTTCTACTTTATTATTAAAGTTGAAGTAGAAAGAGGTAGATGTGTATACCACCAATGAAAGTTGCACCCGTAGTTGTGCTCTACAAATTTAATTGCAAATACGGCCTCAATCAATTGGACTCAATAGCAATACTTAAATTTAATAATTGTACTTAATAGCAAATAAAATTACAATTCAATTTCAATTTCAAGGTTCTACTTTATTATTAAAGTTGAAGTAGAAAGAGGTAGATGTGTATACCACCAATGAAAGTTGCACCCGCAGTTGTGCTCTACAAAAACAAACATAGAAGTATTGATGATGATATTATACACATTTTTGTATTATACATGTGTGATGTCTTAGTACTTAACGATGTTTACACTAGATAAATCTAAGTCGTAATGTGACTTACATGTAGTGAAGACAACATAATACACATATGAATTGACAAGGAACCTAGTGAATGTTTAAGTGAATTCTGATGCGTTGATCGTTTTATCCTATGTTGATGTATTCAACTAAAAGTTCTAGTAATTTATATTGTTTTTATACTTTACTTGTTATATCCCAAATCCCAATCTTTCTAAAACAAACGTTTTCCTATGAACCGTTTCAATGTTTTATGGGAATTTATTACTATATACGACACTTATATACTTACAAATTTAGTCTCATCACACTAACAAGTACATTAAATGTATGAATTCCGATAAAAATACAAAAATGTTGATGTAATTTTGCTTTTTAGTATCTCCATGTAAAAAATGTGAATCCATGTAAAAATTGTGAAGTGTTAGAACTATCATATGATGAAGTGATTAAAACTATTTTTTTAGTATCGCCACAAACATTAATATGTGTGAAGTTAAATATAATCATCACTACAAATTACCACTATAATCGCTACATATAAAAATCTAACTTCTCATTTGTAAAACTTAGTTACTTTTCATTTTAAATCATATTTATATCATTTTAACTTGTTTATTTCTGGCAAGTCTAACATGAGTCACATGCCACCATATATAATTAGTGGAATGTATAAATTTTAATTCTCTACTGAAGTATAGAATTCAAGGAATGTGCATATTAATTACTCAGTAGTTTTAGAGGCCGTTTGGCAACACTGTTTTTCGATTTATCAGTCAACTTTTTTACCAAACACGTAATTTTTGCTTTCGCGCGTTGAATTGTGTAATAAGCAGAAAAAGTAAGGTTAAAGTTACTTTTCTGGCTTTATTGGATGAAGTTACTGTAGATGACCATTATAACTATTTTTTACATATAATTTTTTCTTTATTTTATTAATAAAATATATTTTAAAAATAATTTCTTTTTCAAATAAACCAGCAATCACTTCAGCAGCAACTTCATAAATTTCACCGCTTTTAAGTAGCTGAATCTCTACTACCGTATAGAGGTGGGTGAAGCTCAAGCGAGCATTTTTAACCTAGGGCAAAAACGATGGTTGAAAATCACGATACAATTAGCCACTCCACCAATGTCAGCTATAGGATACCAAGTATGACCCGGTTTTCCATTCCTGAAGACGATTGCGTAGCGGGGCCCAGCATACCGGCTCGTTCGCCGGCATCCAAGAAACGCAGAACGTATGAGGAGGAGGAGGAGGAGGAGGATGAGGAAGGAGAAGAGGAAGAAGAAGCAGAAGAAATTGTAGAAGAGGAAGAAGAAGAAAGTGGAGAAGAGGAAGAAGGATCTGAAGAAGAAGAAGAAGCAGTGGATGATGAGGAAGTGCGTGAAGAAGATATGGTGCCGGAACATGACGGCGTTATTGTGAAGACGGGTACGGGTTCAGAGATTTCGACTGGGGACGCGTCGGTTTCTATGATCCTGACCGACCCGGATGTGTTGGATTGCCCTATCTGCTTCGATGCGCTTACTGTTCCTGTGTTTCAGGTCCATTTGCTTCTAGATTCTTCTATATTTTGCCTCTATAAGTATTTATTTTCATGTATTCCCGAATTTCCTTATCTGCATCTCTTTTGTGGGATGGCTTGATTTTTTCTTTATAAATGGTTGCTAAAGTAACTGCTCCTTTGGAATTTTGGAGATCCTATACTAGCTTTGCTTATCAACCTTTTCTCTGAAACACTGGCATACTAATTTTGTCAACTGAGGAGGCACAATTTCCCCTTTTATAATTAAACAAGTTCCCTGTTCTAGCAATTTAAGTTATTTAAGCCGAATTCAACCTTACCCAACAGGCTCTTAATAGTTAATATTGTTACAATCCGTTCTAATAGTACTATAACAGGTCACATCCAGTTCAATACAACCTTGTAAATAGAAATCTCTTTGGAAACCTGTGGACCACATGGTCCAAGAGCAGAATTGCATTTTGCCTAGATATCCTGCTAATTCACCCTTTCAAGAAAATCCAGGCATTACTGCTTTTGATGGATGGTTATGTGTTGCAAGTAGCAATTATAGTTAGGACTTAGGAGTAAGTAATTGGCGTTACATCTATCTTTGGCTGTTCTCTTATAGGTTAGTTACCTGTCCCTAACACCGCACTATCTGGTCTGTGTGTCCGGCAGAGGCAGTAGTGCCACAAAGGCACAAAGTTCTGATAGTGATTGAGCTAGCAGAATTGGCTTTAGTGCAGAAAGTACTCATTTGGCTTAAGCTAAATGAATCATAATGACTATTTCACGTTTTTTCATTACTTAATATCTTCATTTTATAAAGAAAGTACTCCATTTGTTTCTGTTTAAGGCTTTGAGCCACTATTCATGCCTTCAGCCTAACTCTTTTTAATCTTTAATTCTTTATTATAAATTATTTTCATTTTCAAATGAATCAAATCCATTTTTTGCGATTCGATAGAACTAGTTGCATAGTTTTGAAATATGTAAATTTTAATTAATAATACTAATTTATTTATTATGGAGAAGAGTTATCAAGATCATCAGTGCAAAATGTAATTTTATAACTAAGCAGCTTTCTTTCAGCACCTATTAAACATTTCTGCCAAATTCTCCCTTAGATAACACACTATATCTTTAAAAATCATTCTAACGTAGGCAAAATCCAATCCATGCAACCTTAAACCTAAATTTCATTTGAAACCTGTGGACTAGTTGACCCTAGAACACGGTTGCAGGTTACTTATATATTATTCTTATTCAATCTGTTTAAGAAATCCAAGGTGTAGGGTCTATTGGCTTGCTGAGTTATTCAAACTTTTGTCAGAAATACCTTTATTTATATTTTCTACTTTGCGGATTAAACATGACGTTATAATTTATACACCGAAGAATATATTTTATAGGAAAACATTTTCCCACAAAATAAATTCCTATGAGCAGGGTAGTCAAAACTCAAAACCGCACGCCTGGGCGCTTAAGTGCACCAGTTGAGGCGCTATAGAGGTGCAGTGCCTTATATTCTTCCAGGCGAGGCTGTCTGAGTGAGGCGCAATATAAGTGCAAGAAGCGCAGAGGAACAGAAGCACTAGAAGCGCATGCCTGATTCGCCAGAAGGGGTCTGAAGTTAATGTTTTTAAAAAAGATTTGGGCCTATTTTAAATAAAACCATATCAATATAATAAGATATAGCCCATCCACCTAATAGGGGAATAACAACTTAAACCCTGTTAAAACCTTTCTTAGTCAGTGTATTACCTAGTCTACCGAAACGTAGAAGGTTTTCACTGTGACCCACACCGTGCACAAATGCACAAGGTAACATCCTTCTTCTCCTATTTTTTCCATCTTCTCTCTGCCTTTTTAATTTCTTCTTTTCTTATTTTCCTATTTTTGGTAGTAAAATCTATATCTTCTTTCTTTATTTTATCTCATCATTTAAAAGTTTATGTCTTTATCTTTTTTCTGTCTTTTATCTGCTATTATTTTCTTCTATTTTATACTTTATCTCCTAACAACTATCAAATTTCTTCATTTACTTTTGTTTTGTTTCTTTTTCTGACTTGTTTTATATTTTAAAATTATAACTATGCTATATGTTTTATAGTAGATATATGGTTTGCCTGACATGGGACATGCGAGCATTTTTATGTACTTTAGCGCCTTGAGTGCGCCTCACGACTTTGACTACCTTGCTGGCTCTATCTGCTTCTTGATTGCTCATGTATGTGTTGGAGGTTATATCCTAATGGTGCTAGAAAGTGCCTAATTGGTTACAGTTAGGCTAGTGCAGTTTTAACTGCCCGGCTTCTGTTGGGTTTTTTCACTCATTTTAAAAAACATTCTACTACGGTTTAAACATGAAGCTTTCTTGTTGCCACAATGCTACTACTTAATTAAAAGCATTTTTTTTTGAAAAGAAGTCGACTGTTTATTGTCAGAAACACCCATATTTTTTGTCAACTTTCTTAAGATTCGACACTAGCTATGTAGAGATAGGGAAAGAGAGGCAGGGAGGGAGGGGAAGAGAGACCATTTAGCCTTTGGCAATGTTTTGCTATGGGCGTTTTACTTCCTAAACACCATCTTTTACAATAAAAAAGGCTGCTAAAAGCAGCATATAGGTTCTCAACATGCCGAAATACAAACAGGGCCTTTGTTAGGTTAGGGAATAAATATAGGAGAGAAAATTCGTAAAGGAAGAGAGAAACGGGTCCTGTTTAGGACCAATGTTCAAAATTGCGCATTATAATTCCTGTCCTGAGGCGTGCCATGCAGATTTCTGGGGCAATTGCGATGAAAGGCGTATCTCATTTGATGCCATAGCAAATCTTATGAGAGTCGTACGATCAAAGTTCGAAATTGCGTATTGCGAACTCATGGCACTTTTTTTAAATTGCTTATTGCGTAAGCCTCATTGTGCAATGAGGCATATGCTTGAGGTGTAATACACACACATATATTACAATAAACGGAATAAAAAAAAAATAACTTGCTCACCAAAAGTTATCAAATGTCAAATTAAAAGTGAAGGTAAACAATTGTATAGAAACACATAATATAACTAATCAGTTGTTTATTTCTAGTTTAAAACTATCAAAGAGAAATAAAGCATGAAAATAGAAACCAATCCTTCCCTTCGGATAAATTGTACAAATGTTACCTTAATTAATGATATTGTGCCTTTTGGTACCCTAACTTTTAAATGAAATAATTCAGTACCGTAACTATTAATAAATGTTTCAACATGCAATATTATTCAGTTTTTTGACCAAAAAAGCATACACACGTATAAAGTAATGTAAAGTGGACTCTACACATGGAATTGCAAGTCATGTAGGTCCGAAACTCCGAAATTTGAACAATATTATCGGTTGAAACATTTAAGTATAGTTGTGCACTTATGTCGTTATGCTACTGATATTTTCCACTCAAGAGTTAGTATTAAAATGCAACAATACCCATAGTTACAAGTTCTGTTTATGTTTTTTACGGACTTCCCTTCTTTTTGAGATCACTTTTACTCAGTTTATTAGTTGCCACAGACCATAGTTGTTTTATTATGCTTATCAACATAGTGAGTGAAATAAGCAACTTTTGTCTTGCTTATTTGGGTCAAATTGAAGTGAGTAAACACTTTTATTTTCATAAAAGAATTAATTTCACTTTTGGTCCTGTGAATTTTATGCCAATTTCACATTTAGTCCATGTCTTTCACCTTGTCCAATTTTGGTACTTAATTTAATTCTTGACAATATGTTGTCGTTCTGTCCAATTTTCCTAGAATTTTAATCTCCGGAAATATCTACTGAAGGGCTGTATCTGGGCGAATAGTAAGGATGTTTTTTTACTTGGACTGAAAATTGCTGGTCTGGTCTGTTTAAGTCTGGTCTGAATTGGTCTGATCTGGTAAATGTCTGGTCCATGTATATTTTATTGGTAAATGTCTGGTCTCTGTGTATTTTATAACTATGGAAAGTTTGGTCTAGTCTGATATGTTTAAGTCTGGTCAGAGAGACAGAGACTAAAAACAGTCTAAGTAAAAACATCCTAATAGTCATATACCAAAAGTGGTCAAAGTCAAAGATGTGGATCAATTGTGGAATTGGTGCAATACTCGTAGGACCAAAAGTGGAATTTATTCTTCAGAAAATTAACAAGATCTAGTATTTTTTGCAAAGTACAGTGTACCTCTTATGGACTAGGTTGTTTTAACAATGTAGTAACCGTGAGTTTGAATTGTTTTATTTCTCTTATGATAAAATTCAGCATTTAGAAATTTAGTTAACTGTCATCCATTTATTTTTCCATGGACTATAAACATAGTGTGAGAACGGGCACATAGCATGCTCATCTTGCTGCACCAAAATTGTCAACAAGTGTCCATCTTGTGCTTGGCCAATTGGATATAACCGCTGTCGGGCAATTGAGAAGCTCATTGAATGCATTAAACTCTCGTGCCGAAACACGAAGTATGGCTGCAAAGAATCTGTCTTTTTCACCAAAAAAAGTGGGCACGAATCTTCATGCATCTTCACCCCTTGTTCATGCCCTCTTCGAAACTGCTCATTTATTGGCTCTTCAGAGCAACTCTACACTCACTTCAGCAATCGGCATAGGCAATCAGTAAAGTACATTGTTTTCAACTGTATGAAATTAATATCACTTGAAAAGAACCAGAACTGCCTGATTCTTATAGAGAATACGGACGGTGTAATCTTTGTAGTTAACCATCATAATGAGCATCTTGGAAGAGCTGTCAATATAGTTTGCATTTCGCCTGGCTCATCTAAGAGGAGGTTCCCTTATGGAATCATAGCACGGGATGGGGATGGCCATGTGGAACTGCAATCATTTGCAGAGAACATCCCGAGTTGGTCAGAAGAATTGGCTTTGAGAGTATTCCTTATGGTCCCTACTGATCTTACAGATTCTTTTGGCAGGCTGAAGTTGGAAGTTTGCATAAGGGCCTCTTGAAGTTAGAGATGTTGATCATACATGTTTATGAGCTCAACCACTTAACTAGCTGATTTGAGCTCAACTGGGTTTATACTTTGTATTATTTGTAGTATACTACGTATAAGTTATACGAAGTATTTGTGTAGAAGAATCGTATGGTTGTTTATTGTGATTGAACTGCTTCCTGTTTGGCTGTGCTTTTTCTTTTACGGACTATAAAATAGCGTTCGTCTTGAATCTACATGTATTTCGTACTGGCGTACTGCAATGAAGTGATGAATGATCGATCCATCAATCCTATTGATGTATTGAATCTTATTTTGTTCATATTTTGGTGTATACGGCTATACACAGTGTCCCTGTCAGGGTTTTCGCTATTCCTACCCGGAACTGGTCAACTGGGGGTAGGGATGTCAAAAAAACCCGACCCGCAATGACCCGCCCTGGCCCGAGACATTTGGGGCGGGTCCGCCCCGCCCCGTCTTGCAAATGGGGCGGGTCCGCCCCGCCCCGCCTATTCAATGGGGCGGGTCCAGGTATTAGAATTGACCCGTGCTGCCCCGACCCGCCCCGACCCGACCCGCTCAATATAAAAGTATACATACTTTTTCTTAACTTATACTACAAATATACTTCAACATACATATGTGTGTATACAATAAATCATAAATTCTTTGATCTTATAATATATGAATATATATTAGAATGAGATGCACGACGGATTATCAATGTCTTCTTTATATATATAGAATTTTAATACATTTATTCCATTATTAATATAACTAATTAGATTAACTATTCAGGTTTGAGTAATTTTTCCTTAAATTTTGAAATTTTTAGCGTATCATGAATATGATTTAATATATTGAGTTTTAATTATTATTTAGAGATAAACATTATGTAGATTCAATTGGTAACAACTTCCTACAAATAAAAATAAAAACTAGCTAATTAGGTTGCGGCGGGGCGGACCCGCCCCGCCCCGCCCCCGCATGGGGCGGGTCATGGGTCAACAAGTTTGGACCCGTGCAGGTCACGGGGCGGGGCGGACCCGCCCCGCCAAGTCACGGGGCGAGTCCGGGTCTTGCAATACCCGCCCCGCCCCGACCCATTGCCATGCCTAACTGGGGGTCTTGAACCTGAATTGTCTGGGTCCACCCTACCAACAAGTACTATTCCATTTGTTCGAGGTTCTTTTATGGGGTATCCAATGGTCGACTAATGATAAAATTAACTCTGCTAACAAAATAAATTCTATTATTATATCGCAAAAATAGAATTAAAAAATGATAAACACTTCTTGTTGAGGTTTTGTCCCGTAGATCCGGAAGCCCAACATAAACTTCGGATATTAGGGACGATGAATTCGGTATAAAAGTGAATATAAATATAAATAAGTGTATGAACTAGCTATTTTTACGTGGAAACCCGGAAAGGGAGAAAACCACGAGACTTTTTAGGCTAAACGTCCAAGCCCGCTCTTTCTCATTAATATCCTCCCATCACTCAATACATATTTTGCACTCCATTAATGGAGGTTGAACAAGCTTGCTAATCTCTAAAGAAGAAATACAGTGAATGAAGCTATGGGGGAGGAGAGCCAAAATCCGATCCTTTACAAAGGAAGCCAAACTTCCTATTTATAGAGTGGGGGATGGGGCTTCCTAATCTAATGGGCCGGAAATGGGCCGAGGTAAGCCCAAGTGGGCCAAAATGGGCCAGGGTGGCCAAATTGAGCCTCGCGGACCAGGCCCGGCATGGGGACAGTGTCTTGGACCTCTGAACAGTAATAGGCCGGGGTAATATACCTCAACACTGATACTATAAAGTTGGTCACCCAAGCAATCAAAAATGTCTGCCTAGGTTCAATTCATTCGAATAAACACGATGTTAGAGCTTAGAACAAATAATGTTGACGAATAGCACACTTTTGATATTCAACAATACTTTAAGTGAAAATAAATACATTTCTTTGAGGAAAAAGTAAAATGCTTGTCAATGCTGAGACATTCTCATGCATTTACTAACAAGGATACTACAACATAATACCTTAATTAAATTGAAATACTAGTAGTCATGGACCCGGGCCGGGCCCGGCCGGGCTTTTTTTGGGAAGGAAGGCCCGGGACCGGCCCGGGTAGCTACCGGGTCTGGGCCGGGCCGGGCCTCCGGTTTGGTTAATTTTGTTGTTGTTGCTTTCCTAACCCCCCCCACCCCCCATAAAACCCCCAAACCCCTCCTAACCATCAAGCCCAACCCGGGTGTATCCCAAAAAATGAAAAAAAAAATCAATTAGGCCCAGACCTGGGCGGGCCGGTTCACCAAATACAAGGCCCGAGCCCGGACCCACCCCCACCGGGCCTAGGCCCGAACCGGACCCGGACCCAGGAACCGGGCCGGTTCCGGTCCCGGGCCGGGCAGCCCGAACCGGGTCCATGACTAAATAAATACTAGTTGAGATTCGGACAATCACCTATTATGAAATACTACAATGTAAAGGTAATGCATAAGAAGGGAAAGGATCATCTGATGTGATTGGGTAGTTAGAAGAGATTGAAAAGTTGGAGAAAATCTAAATTGAGGAATAGAACTTGTTATTAATGTTAGCATTTTTTTGTAAAATAATATTTGATCTCTCCAATTAGACTTTGTCAATGTTTCATTTTTGTTTCTCTAAATGTCACTTTCTCTTTAAATCAAATAATTTGTGGGTGTGTTTATTTCCCCCTCCTTTGTACATCTACCAATCATATGATTTTTATTTTTCTTATTTCTCATCGAACACAAATTTGACAAAGTCAATTGAACAAATATAATATATACGTAGTACTACATATTTAGTATTAATAAATCCGAATGATAACAGTTAGTATTATTATTTGAAACAATTACTCATTTATGGCTAAAATTGGTGATCTTAAAAAAATTTGACATTTTAAATGTTGTGACTATAATAACAACTTTAGACTTTAGTTATAACAATTTATATTTAATCTTTATACTTAAGTATTCATAAGACTATACCTTAGTAACTTTACGGTTACAGTTTTGTTAGAATGTTTTATTTTAATAATAATTTGAAAAAAAAAATAATAACTTTGAAAAAACTCTATTTATTTTAAACCAATACTTTACTTGGCAAAACTTTAAAAATAAACAAAATTAACCGGTCGTTCGACTGTTGTACCTTAACTGCCATACCCGAAGGAAACGCGAGCTCGTAAGGTACAACCCTAATCTGCACATAATGCTGACAGACTGCAGAGCCTGAACGGCGGCTGCGACGGCGACGTACCCCCTTTCTCTCTCGATCAGCATCAGAGAACCAGTATGAACTGAATCCACTTTTTTTTTCCTTCTCGGAGACCCAAACTATAACAATCGCCAAAATGGAGTCTCCTACACCTGATCTCAACTATGATGCTTCTTCTCCTCACCGGATAATGGTTTATTTTCTTAACTTCTGATTTTCATCTCTTCTGTTTCTATTTAGATGAACATCGCACGAAACTTTTGAAGTATATCGCGATATCTGGGAATTTGCTATATAAAATATCAGCTGGTGTTCACAATAGGTGATCATTGTGAAATTGGCTAAAATTGTGCTTGTATAATAAAGAAACCTGGAGAAAAAGAATCATTTTGAAATTGGCTTAAACTGACCCGAGTAGTTTATATTATATTTTATCCTACTATGGTTTTAAATGGAAATAGGCTTGACTGTGTTTTTACTACGTTGAACTTTTAAGTTGACAAGTGAAGGAGACGATTCTGTAAGCTTAAAGAGAAAGAAAGGAAATGAGAGGAAGGCTGAAGGGAGCCAGAATAAGAATAAAAAGCGAGATGATTATATTCGTCCTGCTTGTTCTTGGGTGCATTTTAGGTAAAAAGTTCCTCGTTTGAATACATTTTACGCATTTCCTTCATGTTTTCATGTTCTAGATGATGCTTCCTTCATACTAACTCTGATATAATCTCAGCCGTGAATTTATCAAAGAGTACAGTGCATCACATCCTGAATCTTCTGGTCTGAAAGCTGTAAGGGTCCTCACTTTCCTATAAACCAATAGATGATATGTTTTCTTTCTTTTCATTTTGTCTGTGGTCTTTCTATCTCATTGAAATGTATTCTCATGATATAGCAGTTGCTACTGGTTTGGTGTATAGGCTACAAAGGCAGCATCAGATGCTTGGAAGCAGATGGGCCCTGAAGAGAAAGAGAAATACACAAATCGCGCCCGAGAAGTATGGGATGAATACTTAAGCTCTGCACCCCCACGTTCTCCTAAGCCAAGGAAACAGGTATTTTTTTGTTTTTTAATTCTTTGGGTCCCTTTAGAGTCATTTTAGATAGAGGGTTTTGGATGTAGAAGGATTTTTGGGCTTAGCCTATATCTTGATAAATAGAATGTTTTTAAAACGAATTAAGGGTGATTAAAATGTTATATGATCCCATATTATATAAAATCTAAATAATATATCTAGATATAGACTAAGTACTCCAAAGAAGTTCAAAACCCTTCATCTAAACAGACTCTTTAGGAGGGAGCATGGTGGGATTGACACAGTCACAGAGAGGTACCAGAGATTTTTTTCTGAATGAGGGATTTTCCTGGAACCAGAGGATTCACCATTTAAATGCAAAACAAAATTCTGAACTACTGCTTGAATGAAGTGTATAAAACCAGAGCGAATATATTTTACCAGATTACAACTTGCGAGGGTATCTTAAGATGCAAACTTTCCTGAGACAAACTTTCACTAAGAATGAATCATGAAATGAAGAATGTAAACAAACCTTGAACTACTAAATGCCCTAAGTGAGCTGTTATAAGTTTAAGTTCAGTGTCATGCCTACTGAGACTTGCAAACCCCTCTCTCTATCCTTGTACAAATGTGCCATTACCATTTTTCTCCCGAATCATGGGGCTCTCTTTTGACAACTGAAAAATTGGCATGCGTTACTACGCAATATTAATCAATGGAATTGATAAGAGAACAAGTCAAAATTCCAGGCCTTTTACCAAATATAAATGTCCTTTTTTGCTTAAAAGTTAAAAGACTTAAAACACATTTTTACTTTTTCACTTTATCACTTTAACCAACACAAATCATTGAGCTCCTAAATGCATAGAACGGGAGCCTTGGCACACCATTAAGGTATTGTTGTGTGACCGAGAGGTCACGGATTCAAGTCCTAGGAGCGGCCTCTTGTCAAAAATTTGACAAGGGAAGGCTTGCCCCTTATACACTCTTGTGGTGGGACCCTTCCCTGGACCCGCGCCTTGTGGGGATGCCTTGATGCACCGGGCTGCCCTTTTATTGAGTC